CTTCTACCTCGACCTCCCAAGTTGCTAAGATTACAGGCGTGAGCCACCATGCCTGGCCTTGTTTTTGTTTTAGAGTCTCATCCACTGTTACAAAGAACATTCACTTCTTCTGGATCACAGAACCCACTTGTTTCCATGTATACTTGGTGTGGAGACAAAAGTGACTCCAGCTGGGCTCGGTGGCTCTGCCTGTAATCCCGCGCCTTTGGGAGGCTGAGGTGAGTGGATTGCCTGAGCAATTCAAACCAGCCTGGGCAACTTGGCGAGACCTCATCTCTACAATAAATCAAAAATCAGCCGGGCATGGTAGCGCGTGCCTGTAGTTCCAGGTACTTGGAAGGCAGAGGCGGAAGGATTACTGGAGCCCAGCAGTTCTAGGCTGCGGTGGCCGGGAGCGGCCACTGCACTCCAGTCTGGGTGACAGAGTGAGACTCCAACTCAAAAAAAAAAAAAAGTGACTCCATCTTGGATGCTAATCCACCATGTTGATATCTGATTAACCCCAGTTCCAAGAGCCTCCTCCTTTCTTCTTTATTTACTGTCCATAGGGTAAGAACATGTACTCCCCGGAAATCCTGCCTTTAGATAAAAATAACCTTGATGTTATCGCACAAATTGTAGGCTATGATGCACATAGTCTTCTTCCCAGCTCTGGTGGGTTGCCTTTAATTGCCCGGTGTGAGCAGGGTTGCTCTTCCCTGTGGTATATAAGCCTGGGTCTGCAGAGTAATTTGGAGATCCACCATCTGGTGGCTTCCTGAGATGTGGTTTCTGCTTGTAAGTCACTATTAAATGTTTCTTTCTGAGGAACTGGATTGGTTAACTTCTTTCTTCGGCTTCTCAGTTCCCTTAACCTTTGGGTTGGTTGGTGGAACATTGGCCTTCATTGAACCTGGAAGTTCAGTGTAGTCCTTGGTTCTTGCCTGTGTGTGTGGCGTATGGTGGGGTAGGTGAGAGGTAGGGGCACAAGAGAAAATGAATAGAATTCTCTTTCCATGTCTCAAGTTATTGTTAGAAGTAACCACAGCATCCCTTATCCTGTTCTAATAAAATTTCTGCTATGAAGCAGAAAGGGGGCTTGAGATGCCATTTACATTCAGTTATGAGAAAATAAAGAGAAATTTGAGAACCTTGAGCTGTGACTGCTGTAGTAAGAGTCGAAGAGGTGTTTGAGGGGTGGATGTGCAGCTCACCAAGTGAGGCAGGAGAGAGATGGGTCAGGGCTGCATCCAGGGGCTTCTCACAAAGAGCACAGGAGGAGCAGACCAGCGGGTGGCAGTGGCGGGGACACACACTTCCCACAAGTATTTGAAGGACTTACAAAAAAAACCCACAACACCCCCCCAGACCAAAACAACCCAAGCAGCAGCAACAACACAGAAGAAAAATGTTAAAATATATCTGAGAGTGAACATAAAAGATATGGACCGGGGAAACTGAAATAAAAAACAAGAAAGGAAGAAAGGGGGCGGGGCTTTGAGGGCAGGCAGGGGGAGTGGGGTTTAGG